CCAAGGCTTCCAACGTAGAAATGTGCATTCAAGGAATTCAATGGGGCTTGAAATACATCCTACAAGGGATCCGACTCCATACTTTTGAAGAACTCACCATTCGCGTTCATGATATGGAATTGAGCATAATGTCTAGTGGAATGTATGTGGACAACCTATTGAAGATTTTTCGGAAGAAAAGAAATACAACACTTGAAACAGTGAAGGTAGTCATACCTTTACCACTCTTGGAAATGACGATAAACTTTCTGCAACCTCCTGGAAACGAGGATAAACTTTCTTCACACTCCTAGAAACGAGGATAAACTTTTTACAATCTCTTGGAAACAAGGATAAACTTTTTGCAATCTCCTAGTAACGAGGATAAACTCTCTACAACCTCCTGAAAACAAGGATAACCTTTCTTCACCCTCCTACAAACGAGAATAAACTTTCTTTACCCTCCTAAAAACGAGGATAAACTTTCTTCACACTCCTAGAAACGAGGATAAACTTTCTGTGATCTCTTGGAAACAAGGATAAACTTTCTGTAATCTCTTGGAAATGAGGATAACTTTCTACAATCTTCTGGAGACAAGGATAAACTTTCTGCAACATCGTGGAAACGAGGATAAACTTTCTTCAATCTCCTATAAACGAGGATAAACTTACTGCAATCTCTTGGAAATGAGGATAAACTTTCTACAGCCTCCTAGAAATAAGGATAAACTTTCTTCAATCTCCTAGAAACGAGGATAAACTTTCTACAAGACTCCTTTACACGAGAGTAAATTGTTTAACAACAACAAACAAATTCAAATTTTTTTGAACTACGTTATGACTTGATTCTTTCATCGGATACATAGGCAACTTGGAATATAACTCCGAGTACAGTCACTTATGGCAAAAAAAAAAAGAAAGAGCCCTAAAAAATAATTTAAGCAAAGAAAAAGAAAAGCCCTAAAAAATAAATTTGGCAAAGGAAAAAAGGGGCTTAAAAAATTATTTGAACAAAAAAAAAAAATCTTTTTCACAAAAAATAACAAAAGAAAAAGCCCTTTGACAAAAAATATTGCCTAAAAAAATACAAAAAAATGTAGACATAAAAAAATAGAATTACAGTCCAAAAAAAATAGACTGACTTGATATTTCGAGACTTATTCAAGTTTTAAACGTTTTGAGTTAGCGTAAACAAGTCACGATGGGGCATTTTGTAGGCATTCAAAATTAAATGCCTAAATTAAACTAAATATCATGTATTTTGGCATAAAATAAAATTTCAATAAAATAAATATATGGTATTTAATTATGCATATATGTTAGTTTTTTTACAATAAATATCAACCATTAATGCAAAAATTTTCTTAAAATGGAAGATATCGTATAAATCTTACGTGCATAAATAGAGACATAATAAATTAATCTTGTCAATAAAGATGATATAAAGATGTTGACAAGAAAGGAAGGCGCGCAGTCAAATCATTCAAAACTGAAAAATGACATCTGATGGAAAATAAAAGATTATAAAATCTTCATGTTGGCCAATCAGAATGCGGCACGTGGCATCATTCAAAAAGGAAGCCGAGGTCCCCCCCTCCCCTACAAATAGGGGTCATGGCCAATTCATTTAGCACACCAAAGTTACATCGAGGATTCAAGCAAATGGATAAGCCTCTAGACTCTCTCTGCATTGTTCTTCGTGTCCTCCAAAGCATTCTTCGTCGAAAGTCACTGATTTGGACCAATGATCCAATATTGGCTGATGAGTTGATGAAGTTAACGTTCTTTGTCGTATATCCAAGCCGGATGAAGGATCAAAGCTCCAAAAGCCGTTGAAGAATCCGTTAAAGCCAAGGAAGAACCTCTCAAGTTCATCTTAAAGCTTCAAGGTGTTCGTCGCGTTCTTCGTCAAAAGCATTAACCAAGCCCTCTTTGATCAAAAAGTCAAAGGGACACGCCGCTAAAAGTGTTATGAAGCAATATATCTACCTCCTCAAATATCAAAGCCTCGAATCTTCTAAAGAAGACATCAAATCCAAAGTCGACGGTCAAATCGCCCACATGGAGACCAAAGCTTTCCAAAATGCGGCAAAGCCAAACCAAAGATCAAAGCCGCGGATCGTCCAAAGAAGACATCAAATACAAAGCTAACGATCAAATCACCGACACGGAGACCAAAACCCTCTAAAATTCGGCAAAGCCAAACTAAAGATCAAAGCCTCAGATCGTTCAAAGAGGACATCAAATCCAAAGTCGACAATGAAATGCCCACACGGAAACCAAAGTCCTCTAAAAGGCGGCAAAGCCAACCAAAGATCAAAGCCTCGGATCGTTCAAAAAAGGCATCAAATCCAAAGCCGATGATCAAATCGCCCATACGGAGACCAAAGCTCTTCAAAAGTCCAGCAAAGCCAAACCAAAGATCAAAGTCTCGGATCGTCCAAAGAAGACATCAAATCCAAAGCTGACGATCAAATCGCCCACATGGAGTTCAAAGCTCTCTAAAAGGCGGCAAAGTCAAATCAAAGATCAAAGTCTCAGATCGTCCAAATAAGATATCATATCCAAAGCCGACGATCAAATTCGCCTGCACGGAGAACAAATTCCTCCAAAAGCCGGCAAAGCCAAACCAAAGATCAAAGCATCGGATCGTCCAAAGAGGACATCAAATCCAAAGTCGATGATAAAATCGCCCGCATGGAGACCAAAGCCCTTTAAAGTCCGGCAAAGTCAAACCGAAAACCAAATTTCTTCGAATCAAAGAAGCCATCGAAATCCAAGTTGGAAAACAAATCGACCCGGAAAGAGAATCAAAGGACCCTTTCAGAGAATAGGACCCGCTTTCAATACAAATAAAATAAAATTTGTACAAATCTTGTGTTTATTAAAAATAACACAATTTTTTGTCTACAGTAAGTCCCAATTCGGAGGTTGAATAATTGGTGGGGTTGTGAGATGCTCCTTTAGTGCTTCAATTGCCTTCTTGGAATCATCATTGAACTCATATGCTACATCTTTCTATAGGAGGTGAAACAATGGTGCTCCGATCCTGCAAAAGTCCTTTATGAATCGTCGGTAAAAACCTGCATGTCCTAAAAAACTGCGTAGCTCTCGCACAGAAGTAGGGTAAGGTAAAGCAGTGATTAGCTCAACTTTAGATTTATCTACTTCTATACCCTCATATGAATCCTTATGGCCTAAAACAATTCCTTGTTGAACCATCAGTTGACATTTCTCTCAATTAAGCACAAGGTTAATTTTAATACATCGTTTCAAGAATATAGTCAAATTGCCTAGACAATCATCAAAACTAGAGCCATATACGCTAAACTAATCCATAAAAACTTGAATGATTTTCTTAATATTCTTAGAGAGAATACTTACCATACATATTTGGAATATAGTAGGGGCGTTACACAAACCAAAGGCATCCTTCTGTAGGCGAAAACTCCAAATGGGCAGGTGAATGTTGTTTTCTCCTGGTCCTCGGGTGCTATCGCTATCTGAAAGTAACATGAAAATCCATCTAAAAAGCAGTAATATACGCGACCAACGAGTCTTTCAATCATTTGATCAATATAAGGGAGAGAAAAATGATCCTTTTTTTCTACCGTATTGAGCTTACGGTAATCTATGCACTGGCGTCATCCAGTTTGCTTTCGAATAGGGAGCTTTTCTCGTTCTCGAGTCTCTTCCACCATTCCTCCAACTCTCTTAGGAAATACTTGAATAGGGCTCACCCACCTACTATCGGAGATAGGGTAGATGATAGCAACATCAAGAAGCTTTAACAATTGTGGTCTTGTGATCTTTTAGAATCTTAATCAGTTTCTCTTCTTATTCTGGTGTCAATTTTGCGAAGATGATCATTGGTAGAGTATTCTTCTATCCCAAATAAGCATATTTCAGAGTCTTATGTAAAGACTTCAATTCCTATTCAGGTGTCTACATCAAAGATGATACTAAAATATGATTAGATTCATGTAAGAATATTGGAGCCAATTCATACTTTGGTGACTCTCTAGAAATTGAATTAAGCTCCTTGAGAACTTTTCTTATTCTTTTGTCTATGGCTATCTCTCTCACAGGTTCTTCCTCTAGGTGTTCCACCAACACGATTTTCAATTCATCAGAACCACTTAATTCAATTGGTTTTTGCACGTATAGATCAGTAACATCAATTGCATATAATGACTCAGAATCAACAGTGTGTTTCTCAACATAAAAAATACTGAAATGGACTTCTTCTCCATCAAATTCCAAAGCAAGGGTGCCATTCCTTACATCAATCTTTGCTCCTGCAATGCATATAAAAGGTCTACTTAGCAAAAGAGGTGGTGGGTTAAAGCAGTGTGCATCATGCATATTCAAAATATAAAAATTGACAGAAAAAATCAGGTCATTCACTTGAACTAGTGCATCCTCTATCATACCGTCGGGATAGGAATTAGTTCGATCAACAAGCTGAATGATAATACCTGTTTCTTTTAAGGGTCCTATCTTTAGAGAGTTATATAGTGATCGTAGCATAACATTGATAGCGGCGCCTAAGTCCAAGATAGCCTTAGCCACTTCTGTTTTTTCCAATTTTATAGGTGTTGGAGTATGGATTGTACGCTAGAGGTCTATTCACACCATAGTTTTCAGCATTCACATCCATTGCACATCATTCTTGAAGGGTTGGACATGCATCTTTAGGGTGTCCTACACTCGTGTATATTCCACACGTCTTGACTTGGACACCCGGTTTAGATTTTTCCACAACCATCTTGCAAACAAAGCTCGTCAACTCATAAAGTTGTTGCTGCATCGATTGGATAGCATGGTCGTTGTTGTTTCTGCTTGTCTGTCCAACATCCCTCGAACCAAATTGGTGTGTGTTTTTAGCCATCATCACAATATGATCTCAAGCTTGTGCTGGCGTCTTATTTACTAGAGCTCCACCACTTGCAGCATCGATGATGTTCTTGTCTATTAATAACAAATCATCATAAAAATATTGAATCAAAAATTGAGGGGGAATTTGATTTCGTGGACATTTAATGATAAGCTCATTAAATCGCTCCCAATATTCATGGAACATTTCACCTGAATGTTGATTGATACCACATATTTCCTTCCTCAGAATCTCAGCTCTGGAAGCTGGAAAGCACTTCTCCAAAAATTTCTTTTTTATGTTGTTCCACGTATCGATGCTTCCAGGTGGGAGATAGTAGAGTCAATCCTTTGCAGTATCTTTGAGTGAGAATGGGAAGGCTCTGATTTTGATCTGATCGCCAGTAACACTTGATGGTTTCATGCTGGAGCACACCACGTCGAACTTTTGCAAGTGTTTGTGAGATTTTTTTCCTGTAAGTCCATGAAAAGAAGGTACTAAATTAATTAAGCCAGGTTTCAGTTCAAAAGCAATCATATTATTCAAAGTTGGAAAGTTTATGCATAAGGGCTGCTGCGCCAAGTCGGGAGCAGCAAACTTCCCTTAGAGTGCGGGTATTCTCAGCCATGACAATCTCTTGATCACTTTCAGAGTCACTAGAGCTAGAGATTCTGAGGTGGTTTAAAGAATCGGCAAGCTTTGCAACTTGAGCAGCTTTTCGTTGTTTGGCTTCCTTTTGCTCAACCTTCTCGATTTCAAGATTAAATATCAGTTCACCTGTATGAGAAGAACGGGGCATAAACAAGAGGATAAATAAAAATAACACAAAAGTGTAAAACAAAGTGCAAATCCTCGGCAACGGTGCCAAGAATTGACCTGTCGCACGGTCAATCAAATATTTTATATATTCTGTAATCACAATTTAATGTAATACACAGAAGGGATCATCTCCACATGGATTGTGTGATTCACTTTTTCGCGTTCTAATGTAGTAAATAAAATTGGGGAATTTTCTTTTGTTATGCAATAAAGACAAAATAAAAAAGCAATTAAATCAACGAATGACTAGCTATCAAGGGGATGTCTGACTCAGGAAGTGACGCAGTCATGGAACTTGTGTTATATCATTGATTCAATAAAGTTGGTTCTTATTAAAGTATCAATAAATTGGTTATAGTTATCAACAAGCTCTGATAACCAATTTTTCCTTACAGTATAGGTAATTAAGGAACGACCATTTACTACCTCTAATTAACCTAATAAACCTAGGTGTGCCCATAAGAAATATTGTCTAATTGCATTCTAATTTTGAAAAATTCAATTCAAAACAATTACTACCTAAGAGGAGCAATTAGGTTTGATTGTCTAACCCCCGGAAGAAATTATTCAACCCGGTTGTCACCTATTCAAATGCGAATACAATTATGGATATCCTACCTGAATTGACTTTAGATTATCAGACCAATTTAAATATCGGTACCAAAACATTCAATCAATCTAACAATCACAAACATTATTCTCAGGATTAAACAAATATTGATAATAAAAAAGAACTTTAATAAAGAAAATTAAGAATCTCCAAAACACAAGGACCAAAACAGTATCATCCCTCAAACCAAAAAAGTAACTACTCCATAATAAAGTAGCAAAGAACAAAAAGGAAATATAAAGTCATAGTGAGAGGGGAAATCTTCTCTGCCGATTTGCTCTTGTGCGATCTATGAGTCTGTCAGTCTCATGCTCTTGTGCGTCTTTTCTCTGGCCGTCCTCCCCCTCTTCTGCGTGTGACTCCGTTTTTCTCTTATAATTTTTTCCTATCTTTTTAGCAGTTGAGCTTTTGGGTCTTTAATTAAATTCTCATGTCAAAATAGTAGAGTTAGTCAAGGCCATGACTAACTCGGGGTGCAAATCTGAATTTTTCTTTATTTTTTCTTCCAATCACGCCAATTTTTTTTTTCTCTCCTACATGTCAGAAATAATCAATACACACAGAAATTAGGTAGAATCCAGCCAAAATAATCAAATATCGCATATAACATGAACACTTAGCGCATGCGATTTCTGACTATCACTCAACTAGTGTTTTATCATTCTTTTTTATCAATTTCATGTAACATAGACATCTTTGGAGGATTCTTTTGTCAAATATCTTTTTGCTTACAATACTCATCAAAAGGACCAATGTATTTTCTTTATTCTAATACATCTCATCTTCTTTACATTTTTCGTTGCAACCAAAGCCTAAAATTGTTTGAAGACATTAAACACTTCATTTTTACTCTTTAATGTGTAAGTCCATATTTTTCTTGAGTGATCATCTGTAAATGCTATAAAACTTAAAGCGCTACCACGAGTTTTTGTTATCATATTACCACAAGAATCAGAACAAATTACATCAAGTATACCTAATGCATTGGAAGAAGTTAATGCTTTGAAAGCCACTCTAGTGTGCTTTCCCGCTAAGCAATAAGTACACTTCTTCAATGATGAATTTTTTAAGTTTAGGATGAGCTTTTATTTTTTTTTATTATTTTAGATCCCTTCTAACTACTATGGCTATGTCTATTGTGTCATAGTTCAATTATTCCTTCATTCCTCTACTTTTGCTTTTCTCCTTTCTTTCGGTGACCAAAAAGTCAAACTTATTGGAGCCCTGCGATTTTCTTTTCATTTCCTTAATTAACACGTTGTCCTTAACAAAATTCATTATAATGGTACTATGAGGTGATGACTTTGACAAAGATTCCCAAAGGTCTCTCATGAATCTGGAAATGTACCAAGAAGCCATAATCCTTGTTCTTCAGCTTCAAACTTGATATTCATTCCTATAAATTTGTTAGTGAGCATTCATAGGAGTGTTGTCTTTCTAGTTTAGATTAATCAATGGTTTCATTAAGAATAATTCATTATTCCAGTTTTTCTTGCGTACAATTGCTTCAACTTTTCCCATAATGCTATGCATTTATTATCCATTAGCACACTTCAAAACATTGACATCCAGTAACTGTGTTTGATGTAACAACATAATTGTCGATGCATTATATTCCATTTGGCATCGCTTTTACTCTTAAGCTTGTTGGCTTTGAACACCGATTGGTAGACATATTTCACATATAGAAAATCCTATTTTCTTCCATACATGATAGTTGGAACCATTAAAATTCACCATTCTACTTGTATTTGTTTCATATTCACCACAAGATACAAAGTACAAATATTTCTCTAATATCACTTTGATTTGATAAACACACGTAGAGTTCAATCTAAATGCGAATTATCATTGTCTTGTATGAATCTATTACGAAATAACAAAAATAGAATAGTAACACCCCAGAAAATAATGCAATCAATCAACAAAGAACACAAGAAATTTTACGCGGAGAACTTTCTTAATATTAAGAGTAAAAACTATGGAATCGAAGTCCACCAAATCTCCACTATTGGTAGCCTTCAGAGCTTTTAATAGAAATTCACTAACACCAAATCGCCGCGTAGCAAGCGATGCCGAGGTCGATCCACTTGGACTGTGTAGTTTAATTCATGTTTCGCCACATATTCAAGTGATGGGGGAAGATTTTAGAAGATTCAGCTAAATCAATTAGAATAAGCGACGGAAAATAAAAATTGGATTTTAAAGAGATTAAATTTCTAGCCCAAAGAGTGAATAAGAAAACGGAATAAGGATTCAATCATCGATTTTAAATAACCTTGTTGTTCAACTGATAAATTGAATATAGGTATTGGATACAATCATAACGCCCAGTTGGCGGCAATGGTATGACCGATTGACCGTGTCTTTAAGCAAAGAAATAATATAGGTACGACCATAGATTAATTTCCCTAATCGAAAATAGCACGTGAAAAACTCAATTCAAATATCCAATCAATTACGAAAACACTAAATTATTTGATTATGCAATTCCTAGGCTAAACTCGTCAACCTATTTACCACTTCATCAAACAAGTGCATAATTACGGATGTAAATATTTGATTGGCACACAATTGCTAAACAAATATAAAATCCGGCCGCAATAAAATACTAAATAAAATAATTATAGGCATGAATCACAGAAATTACATAAATATCTATTTAATAAAAAAGATGCAATTAAAATCAAAATATAATCTCATAAATCCAAATTTGAAATCTAAATTCAACCTTGGAATAGAATAAAAAAATTAGCTACACATTCTTAGAAATAAATAAAAGCGATAAACTAATTATCCGGTGGCGCTTCCTCTGAAACCGCCCATCCCAATCCTCCAACTTAGGCTTTGAAGTGTGAGTGTAAGTTGTGATGATTTAGTCCAATGCCCTTGCTCAATTTTTATAGATGACCGAGTCTTCAATCGCACTTTTAATCACTCTCTCAATCATCATGCCCTTCTCAATTTTTATAGATGATCGAGTCTTCAATCGCACTTTTAATCACTCTCTCTCAACCATCATTCCTATCACAACGGGTTGTTAGTAGGAGCAACCTAAACAATTGGTCAGGACATCTTCTTCAAAAGGGCCTATGTTTTTAATTTTTAATCCGTTATAATTATACATATTAAAATTTAATTTCTATTTTATCCCATATTTTTCTCAATAATTGTCCAATATAATTTTAATTCTAAAATTAAACTCTAACCAAAAATTTTCTAAAATTAATCTCATCTTCCTCGCCTTTAGAATTCGAAAATATTTTCAAGTCCATTATTATTATTAGATATATTTAAATTTTATCTCATATTTTTTTCTAAAATTACCCGATCTAATTCTAACTCTAATGAACGCTAATCAGAATTTTCATAAAATTAATCCCAAATCTGATTAATTCTAATGAACTCTAACCCAATTTTTTCTAAAAATTGATTCCAAATCCAATTCTAATTATAATCAACTCTAACTCGATTTTTTCTAAAACTAATCATATATTCCTTGCATTTAGAAGTTGTAGTTATTATTATTGAGTTATTGGTTTTATAATGGCCAATAAATATATATATATATTAATAATAGTCAATATGTATGATTAATATAATTTTTACATTTATGGAGTTTATTATTATATTTATCTTTGATAGTATTTTGAAGAAGAAAAAAAAATCATTTATATAGGGTCAATCATTTATTTATATAGGGCCAATCATTTATTTTTTACTCAGACCCTTAAAAAAATCTGAGATGGCCCTGATGCCTACAATCACGCCTCAATCCCTGTAATTCATCACTTTTCTTGATATACAAGGTTAAATCAAACAC